CAGGAGAGGCAGGAGCCCCTGGGCAGGCTCTGCAGTGCTGAACACCTTCCTGAGGAGTGTGCCAGGGCCCCCTGGGCACACATTCACACACATTCACACACATTCACACACATGATAAGTGCAGGCCTTTCAGTTCGTCCCTCCCGCCCAGGATTGCCATTTCTGCACAAAGCAGAGTTCAATCCAATGCATTATTGTCTCGTCCACTGACACTGGTTTTACTCCCCTGCCTAAGAACACTGTCCCCCAGGAACCTGATGGGACATCTGAGTGGCCTCAGGCAGACATTAGGTGGACCAGTGCTTCTGGACCATGCCATGTGCCTTTCTTGCAAGGTGACTCTTACTGAGCAACTGAATTCCCTCCTGAAAGGAACAGTCAAAGAAAGGAGTGCGAAGAAACGAGGGTAGAAGATATGCTTTCTGTAGACAAAAAAATTTTGAAGAACTAGGCTTATACTTTTGCTAAATCCATAAAGAACCAAATGGAGAGAGGGAGGAAACCCCATGTGGCTCCACAGAAAGGAGCAGGGAGCCCACACTGCTCATCTGTGGGCAGAGGGGAAGGGAGGCTCCTGTTCCTAAGGAAGGCCCTGCTATTGCCTGAGCAGCCCCGAGTGGCCAGGAGAGGAGGCTGCTCTGCAGCCAGAGCACACACTTGCATGAATATTAGCAAATGAACTTGTGTTCCCCTTTCCCCTTTGGTTTCTACCTCAGTGCCACACAATGCCTGCTGTGATCCAGGGGAATCTGCTATTGTTCCGATGCACCTGGGTGTGAAGGGAGTCACAGGGTCTGGCAAGGGAGCCTTCCTCCCTTCCCTGCTTCATCCCTTTTACCCCGGAGATAATCCCTCCTCTGCTGCCTCTGGCCTCAGCCATCCAGTGCTGCATTCCTGGAATGTAGCTGGCTGCTGTTCTCCCATCTTCCCCCTGACCTCTTAATGCCGTTTAATCTCCTGGAAGAAGAGCCCTGCCCTGCAAAGCAGAGCTGTTTGCTCTGTGTGTCCAAGTGCAGATCATGAACAGGAAAAATGAACACGTTCATTTACAGCAAATGGGACCAAAACAGCCAAGAAGATGGCAGTTTCCATGCTATGGCCTGCAAAGGTTTAACAGCAGTCAAGATCAGGTGGGAAGAGAAGCTGGAGAAGCCTTTCCACAGTTAGACTAAAGCTGCTTTAGTACATGAGAGTACTTTCCTTTTGTTTCATAGTTATTTACATCACCCCCAGAGCACTGACTCTCTGTAGTTTGCATCAAGAGTGGAACAGGACTGAATCTCTTCACTAGACATACTTCAAGAGTCTTTTGTACGTTGTTAAGCTTTACCTTTTGGTGTAAAAATGGAATAAAATATCCTATTTGTTGGTAAATAAAAACAAGTCACAGAAACACAAACACAGTTAGGCTGACAAAAGACATTCCAATTATAACAGACACAATTAGAGAACTGCACAGAACTGGCAGGATCACTTGCTTCTAATGAAATGATTCCCTTTCCCAACAAGTGATGTTTCTGGCAGCCTATCATTTGCTGGTTTAATTTTACTAGATCAGTCGTGCTCCTGACTGTGGAAAAGCTCCAGAGGGAGAACGTTCCTAAGTGTAGGTTTGTTTTTAAAGCCCCAGGGCTCCCCCCATGTGCTCACACACCCCCTCACAGACTGGTGGGCAGACTGGGCAATCCTGTGTGATCCTGTGGGTCCTGCCAGAGGAGCCCCAAGAGCTGCTTGTTTGACAGGGCACGTGTTCAAAACAGTCACGGCGAGGCCGTGTAGTGTTTATTCTCCAAACAGCTCAAAGATAACACAGCCAGAAGTGTGCACTCCACCCAAAGAGCTGGAGTGAGGCGTGGAAATGAGGAAACATCACCTGTGTTAGTGTGTCCCTCTGCCCTGTCAATGGTCACTGTGCTCCCAGTGCCTGCCCTGCCTGGCACACCGGGAAGGATCCCAAGGACAGCCCTGGCAGCTGAACATGCACCATGTGCTCCGATGCTTTAAGTACATCTTGGCCAGTTTTCATGACAAAAAACAGAAGAAAGCAAGCAATAAGACATTTATGGAATCATCAAAGCTGGAAAAGACTTTCAAGACCATCAAGTCCAACCATCGACCCAGCACCACAAGGGATGTTCTCTGTAGCATTGGGTCTTCCATAACAATTACCCTTACTTTTCCCCAAAACAGAGAGCACTATTCAGTACTACAAACTATTCACTTGAATCTTGTCCTTGCCTTGAAAATTGTTCCCTGTTCTCCTCCCTCATTAAACCTTGAGTGGCCTGTACAGTTCCTGCTACTTGTTGAGTACAGTTGGATTGCCCTGGAGTCCGTGGTGACAGCCCTGTGTTTGGTTGATCCAAGGGTCAACAGGAAAGGAACACCCTGAGGAAACCAAAAAGCATGGGAAGGTACACCAAAGCAAAGCTGTGGATCCTCCCACTTGGTCTCCTGGTGTCTTACTAAGAACATTTTGTATAAATCTTTATGGCACTGCCCCAGGCTATCTGGCTAAAATCCTTCTTTTCACCATCAAGGAGAGCTTCCCCACAATGTCTGAGTATTACAGAAAGCACCATTAAAACAATTCCATGATAAAGAAGGCTCTCCAAGGATGCCCGATCACCACTCTCCAGGATGAGCCATGCTGGGGGATCTCACCCAGATAATTACCACCAAATTTTGGTGCACTATCAGCTGAGGTGCTGTGCCTCCAAAGGCATTTCAACATATTTTACTGCTATTTTTTGTAGCCCAACAACTGCAGACACACAACTGTGTTTGGAAAGGCTTGAAAGCTCCTCACTATAGGGTGAGAGATAATGAGTTAAAATTAAAGGTTGCTGCTGGCTCCCCAGCCCATCCCCCTTTAGCTAATCTGTCATGTAATGAAGAGAAGCCCCCAGCACAGGACAGCTCGCTGCCGGCTCACTTACAGCGAGCTGATTAAGAATGTTCAACCAACAGCAGCCCGCAGACCTTTCCGAGGAAAATAAATCGAGTGTATGCAAATGTGTTTGTCACTTTGACAGCACGTCTCAATTAGAGGCGCGGCGGGCGCGGAGCTGTCCCCGCTCCGCCGGCCGGGCTGACCCGCAGCTCCAGCGCCCGTGCCAGCCCGGCACGGCCCGGCAGCGGGGACAATGGCCAGGCAGCGGGGACAATGGCCCGGCAGCTTTCATCCCGGGGACAATGGCCAGGCAGCTTTCATCCTGAGCCTCGCCGGGCTGCGAGCGCACAAACAGCCCCAGCGCCGACGCTCGCGGCTCTTTAATTGTTCCCACCTTCTGCATTCCAGGCAGCGGCACAAGTGACACTAAAATCGCTGCCTTTAATCACGACGTAGAAGCCATCTCCCATTTAACCAGTAAATGCTGCTGCTTTTTTTTCCTCCCCAAAGCCCTAATCTATATTTCATAAACCCGAACATCTTTTCCTTTCCAATGGAAGTGTGATCGCGTTTTCGTTTGGCACCGGGCTACCGGGAGGAGCAGAGCCGAGCCAGGACAAAGGCTGGGAGGGGGAGAGCCCTACAACTGCTAAGTCAGATCAGTTTTTGGAGCCCGACACTCGTAATGCAATGACAGCAATCAGCACTTGGCCAGCGAGCCTCTCACCACAGCCAGGGGCCGGCAGAGCTGATGTGTGTTTCTTTTGACACAGAGAAAGGGATCATTAAAAAATTTGAAAGTGACTGTTAGGAAACCTCATGAATTTAAATTTGCACTTACCACTCAAATATATATTTCATTAATTTACCAAAATGTTTGAACCAGCCATTCCTCATAAAAGTCTAAAGGAAAAACTGAAAATAAATCGTAATATTATCTGATTTCTGACTGCATCAAATGAAATGTAACATGTCCCTGCTGGAGCTAGATGGCTGCATTCCTCCAGTAGCCCCAATTCCTCTCAACTGTATTGGCACAGAAAGTAAGGGAAAAATAAATCACTACTGCAAATACTTAATTGGAAGAGAATCTGCCTTAAAAAAAGTCTTCAAGAACTTACATTTAGCACAGTGGTGAAAGTTCTGAAAGAAATAAATCTACTTCTAAAACGATACAGACGACACTGCTCTGAGCACTGATCATCTCATGTAGCCCTAATACCTGAACAGCCACTGGTTTCTATTCATAGACATTTCTCTAAAAATCTGGTTTGCTTCCCAATTTTTAATGTTGTTTTACAATTGCTTGCAAATTACACTTTGCTTCTTTAGAAGAAATCAGCTATTCCTTCCTGTTTTCTGATCAGAACAGTGCAAAGAATAGATACAGGAAAAGAAAAGGGAACTCTAAACACAAATCATGTTATTTTCTGAGTCAGGCTACACTTAATAGGGGAACACTGGCAAACTGATAATAAATACTGTATGTTTTTCTATGAAAATCACAGAAACTACAACATTTTCTAAATAACTAGCTCTTAAAAACCCCACACAAACTCACTGTTTTGCAGACATATCAAAAGAAACATTACACGAGTAACTAATGTGAACAGCTCAGCTGTCAATACCAAATACAGAGTACACTAACAAGCTATTAATTGATTTTTCCATCTTAGTTCATCGCATTTAATTTTCAGAGACTGTTCAAATGCTTTAATAGTTGGATGTTCCATATTGACACTAATGATCTGGCAAGATAACAGAGGACATTTTGAATTCTACACCCTCAGTCCTGAGGGCTGTAGCTCTTTGCAAGCTGAAAGAACCGCAAAATAGTTTATAAAATTGCTTTAATAATTATGCTTCACCCCCATTCGCTTCGAATTTATTTTCCTCAAAATCATCCTATGAACAAAAGGAATCAAGAAACCCCAGAAAAATCAGGTTTTGGACTCTCATTTAAACAGATGCAGCAGAAATAAAGCTATAATAACATAATTCAGCGAGTGGAAATAATGAAACAATTGGCATCTTCGTTACTGTGATTTTTCTCTGAACTGGTTTTGCTGAGTCACACAATTTAAAGAGACCTGACACCGAGACCTACCTGCCCAAAATGTACTGTGATTGGTCTTCTGTCCTCTCGTAATTTCGGGTCCTTCTTGTCCCCCAGTGGTGAGGGTGCTGTCCTGGGCAGGGGCTCCTCTGGCGCGGCCGAGCACCCGTTCTCAGCAATGTCCTGCGTGGTAGGAAAAGGTGAATAGCATGGCCAGGAACACTCTTGAGTGAGGGCAAGGTGCACAAAGGACACACTAGAGGAGAATGCTGACTAACAATTTGGATGTCAGGGGAGAAAAAACACCAAAGTACAGAAAAGAAAACATCATTAGAATAAAACATGTCATTGCAGTTCGGCCATCAGAGCTTGTACACAACCCCTCTCTCCTCCCAGGGCCAGTGGTGCAAACAGGGACAGTCAACAAAACGTCTGACCCGAACACGCAAAAGCCAGGAAATGCATGTGGAGGAAAAAACCATAGCTCAGATTTGCTATTTTAGCAATGAATTCAACAGAAGCCCAGGAACAGGGTATTCTGCTTTTTGTAAACCTAAATGAACACGGTAATTCCATTTACGTACTGCACAGAATTAGCCATAGCAGAACAATTACTGGTGGAAGTGGCAAGGAGAGATGGAACTCGGAGCTTAGTTAGCTTTCATTTCATCTTTGAGCCTGTGTGGACTGAATGTGCCTCCAGGAGAGTGCACACCACCAACTGCTGCCTCACAGAAGGCTTTTGTGTTTGCTTTGACATCAGTCCTCTTCTCCAGAAGTGAGGTGACCCACCAGCCTAGGCTAGAGGACTTGGCAAGTGCAGGCACGGGGTCCGTAACGCGGGTTTTGAACGAGACAAAGGCCCGCAGACACCAGGAATCAGACGAGGAGCAAAGAGTTTGAAAGTGAGTTGAGAAAGAGTCTGCAGCGCAGTGGGGCCCAGAGCTTCACATCTCTGCAACAATGCCAGGGAAATAATGCCGGGTAAATATCGAGAGGAGGCTGCACAGGCTGGGGCTCGGCAGGGCCGACCTAAGGGTGGCTGCTGACCCGGCAGCTTTGATTGCTGACCTCTGGCCCGGCCGCGCGGCCCCGGCGCGCGCAGGTACAATAATGAGCCGTGTGGGCTGATGGCCAATTAGAAATGGTGCCTTTGGACACACACTGACCTAATGTGTTTAGGTCAAATGAAACAAAAAGCTCGATGGACTTTCTAAGGGGCTTTGTCTGCTCCACAGAGAAGCTGAGACCCCTCTTTAGATCCAGCTGGTAGAGCAGTGGTTCCCCAATATGAGCATAAGGATCGTGGGGAATTAACAACTTGCTAAGGTCAAACTGGAGAGAAAAACTTTTTCCTCCCCCCGCCCTCTGGCTCCACAATGGCACCTTGTCTTTAAAAAGTACAGCAAAGTCCACGGAATTAGTAACAAAGAGCCCCAAAACAATGCAACGACAAGAAATGTGTCTGTCAAACTCATCCTGCAGCTCCCAACAAGCCACCGAGGGATCTGCTCAGTTCTGGGCTCACAGAACCCATGGCAGCACCACAGACTGCAATGACATCACACACAACCTTTATTCCCACATTTCTGTGCAAGTGGAGCCGTATGAAACGTGCCTCAAGCCCCAGAGCTGCCCAAGCCAAGGCACCCGACCTGCTCTGGGAGGGGCTGTGCCCAGCCCTGCAGAGGGGCCAGAGCGGGGGCTCCAACCATGGCCACGGACAGCTGGGTCACATTGGAGCTACATAAACAGTGAAACATGCTATTAACTGCCCCAAATAAGGGTTCCCAATAGCGTAAAAATCATGAAATGTCAAAGCATCTGGCACTTCTACAATTGGAAAGTAAACAACAGTCCTTCAGCCCACTGGCAGACCTGGGATTGGCACCTTATTGGTATACGCCAGCAAGACATTCCTGAAGTAGTTTAAATCATATATGTTATTCAAGATAACAACAAAAACCATGAAATCTCTCCCTCCCAAAAACTGGGAAAAAATGGAAGGTGAAAGTTACTCATTACTGGAACAAATTCTCCAGGAATACAAAAATCTAGCAATGTTTCAGTGACTTTAAACAGAAAGAAAGTGTAATTTAAGGGTATTATTAAAATCAAAACCATCTTTTGTCTGAGGAAAGAAGATACTTGACAGATTAGCAGAAAAAGAAAATGACTCCAAAATGATCTCCAGGACACCTCCATGAGAAGTGCTTCCCCCAACAACTGTCTATTCAGGTGAGATCTTTCCTACCTATTTATTTTAAAGGAGAAATTTCAGAGAAAGAGATATTCTGTCTCAATATGCATCAGCAATTTTTCCAGGGGACTTTTACAAACACTCCAAATGCTGGCTCTAGAGGAGCAAACCCCACTCTGAATGTGGAGAGGCACTGTCCTGGTGCAGGTTGTTCTGTAAAGCTCTCCATGAGCTGTTCCTACAATACCAGCCCTGAGCCAGAGCCACACAGGGCTCTATAACTAAAATAATGTCGAATACATTAATGCCAAGTGCCCAACCATTTATAGAAATTGTCTTAGCCAGAGCTCTCAGTAAGTTCCATTCTCCTGGCTGAAAGTTGAGGATGGTACCATTCATATTCCTCCTTCTTCCTAATTCTATGTAGTTAAGCTTCAAATGAGCCACTAACGGAGGGACTCCACCACCACGCTCCATTTGTGAGCTGGAAAAAGGCAGCCTTTGCCAAAAAAAAAAAAAAGAGGGGGGGAAAAAAGGGGGAAAAAAAAGGAAAAAAGAACTGTATCAGATATAAAATAAAGCTACCAGGCTGTATCTATTAACAATTATTTGCTCTCACTCATAAGAATCCTCTGAAACCGATTTCTGTTGCTTTGAAATACTGCACCACAAATGAACAAGGGATGGAAATGGAGCCCCATTCAATCTCCACTATCATATTAAAGAAGGACCTTACACACACCACAGTGACCTCTCAACAGGTCAATCCTGCATTTCTCATTTGCAATTCAAACCCAACACTGGAGCAGACCAAGGGCAAAATGGGCTCTTGATTATATTTAAGAGGTCACCATTGCTATGCAGAGTTGGAGGAAGCAGACCTCCAGCTTTATTGCATTTTTAAATTCTATCTTGTACAGAAGCTGCTCAGATTTGGCAGTGAAAACTGGAAAAGGGATGTTTATATTTGACTTTTCCTTACCAGGGGCCTGCATACTTTCTGTATTAATAATGGAAAATAGTATGTTAAAATGCAGTGGATAGTAAGTTCAGTTTAAAAATAACCTTAGGTTACCCTTAGAAGATGAAAGACTAGCATCCCAAATTTGGCAAAAATGAAGTACTTAATGATGCCAGAATGTCAAACAGTTAACACTTGCACATGCCAGTAAGTAAACACATGAGGAATACCATGTTCTCAGATGAAAATTGGGGAGGATGCTTTAACAGACTTGTGCATAATAGACCCATAATGGAGCAGCACAGACATTTAGATTAAAAATGAGGGTGACCAAACAATTTTTGCTATTTTTATCACTTTCAAGAGAGCAATCCCTAATTTTAGAGTTACCTTGATAGTGCATTCACATGGAGAAGAGGATGGGATAGAAAAGGACAGAATAATGAAGGAAGGGGAGGTAGAGCAGTGTGTGCCAACTACTCACAGCAACCTTTAAAGCTCTTGTGAAAGCCTGTGTTGAACAATCATGTTTCACCACACCTCACTCACAGGAACACCACAAAATAAGGAAGGTGAAACAAAACTGGGCCATTTAGTTGTAAATGTTCTGTGCGTTTTTTAAAAGGAAGCCATTGGCTTGACAGACCAGGAGGACAACAACCTTAACAAAACAAAGCAATGACCGAATGAGGCTTTGCTCAGCCTCGCACACAAATGTCACACAACAGCACACAATTCTATTAGCATTTAAAATACAGGAAAAAATCTGGTCCTGTTACACAGCTCCAACTGCTTCAGAAATGCACAGGAGAAGGCCAAACATTTTATTATTCATGAAGGTTATGTCCAGAAACGAAACACATGGAATGACATAAAAAAAAAGCATGTACAAGAAAACTGCTTCATGTTTCCATTATTCTCAAATTATACCTAAAGTGGTTGCACATAATGTAGTGCAATAAAATAAAATGGCATTAAAAGCATCTGAAGCAACTTTCTCTTGCTTCAGACTCTCCAGCAATGTGCTGGAATATTCAGAGGAGCAGCAGCTGCAGTCCCAGAGGTAACTCCTGCTCAGGGGCACTGGTGGCTGTGCCAGCAGGGCATCTGCAGCCCTGCCCCAACATGGGGGCTAGAAATGGAGAGAGGAGATTCACAGAGATAGCCCAGATTAAACCCACCCAAACTATCATGCAGCAAATGGAATAAAACTGTCAGAGTGCTCTCAGCAAGTCAGCTGTCCTGTCTCCCCACAGAATAAACAGAATATCTGCGGTGAACCCAAGGCACAGTTACCCATCCATTCATAGGGGGAGTGGCAACTTCTGGCTTAAAAGGAGCAATTAGGATTGGATAACACATCCTTCAAACACAATTGAGCATTTCTGGAATTGTGCTCTTTACAAACAAACAAACAAACACGGATTGGGAAAACAACAGTGCCAGTACTTTTTCCTGCGATAATTCCAATTGGAAATGAACCCCAACTCTCATCAACTCCTTCTGTCTGAGCTCTGCAGGAGACTCTCCTGACACACAGGACCCCCCTTCCCAGTGGCAGACAGACACCACACGGTGTTTCCTGACTGATTGCTGTAAGAACAACCCCAGTGAACACAAAGTTACTGCCCCAGCTGAGGGAAGAGCTCCCGGCTCTCCTGCACTGCCTTGCACAGACCCCCAGCACGAGGGGCAGGAGTGGGCCCTCTCCAAACACAACGCTGCATTTTCTGGCTTTTGTGGGTTGAAGTCAGAGCCTTAATGTATTTGAAGACAATTTTTTTTTTTTGTCTGTGAATATTTATAACTGGGAAAAATCCGGGACAGCTGGTAATGCATTTTGAAGTGTGCTAACAACACTGTATCAAACAGCTTCCTATTGATCACATCGTGCTTTCAGTGGCTAAGGATTTCAGACGTGGTGCTTATACATTTTGAATAAGAACTTCAAGTACCTTTTGCTTCAAGCGGTTTTTCACTTCTTTTATTCCCATTTTCGCATGATCTTTTGCCTGCATGAAAAATTAATTTAAGTTAAAATCCCCTTCTATTTCCAGTGGTGACTAAGTTTGATTTCAGTTACTAAAGATGGCAACAAAAAAATATAACAGGATACTGAAAACACATTAAAACAAACAGAAAGCTAAAAAGACCCCAAACAAATAAAACCCACCCCTGCTGCAAAAATTTTGTTTTCCCTGTTTTGATGCCATACACATCTTTCATCTTTTTGCATTCCACACCCTCTAAGTATTTTTCTTTGCTATAAACTCATATTCTCCAATATCAGCAGTGAGCCTGCAAACCCCTTCCTTGCAGTGCTCTGGATGCCAGTTTAGTAGAGCCATTCTCATCCTACTCATCCTTCTCAGGCTGCAGGAAGGCAGGAGAAAACCAAAGTCTGGCCAGTTATCTCAATGATTTATGGAGCATTATTTCCTAAAACTGAGCACATAAGAAATGCTCAGTTGTTTCTCCATTTTGTTTGATCTTGCAGAGTGGAGCTGGCAGCCACACACGACAGCACAGCAACACACCAGCTGTTTGTTAACAGGACTGAAAACATTGCCATTGAAAGAATAACTCAGTAAGCTGGAGTCTAAATGAGCAGGTATAAGAAATCTCTGGGGAAAATTAATTGACATTTAGAAAAGATGGAAACAATTTGGAAAATGAGAGGATTCCCTTCTTTCGATGAAGTGCAAGCAGGGAAAGCTGAGGTAACAATGATTTCCAACAGAGCAATGATGAGATGGTAGAGCTGCTTAGCAGAGCACACAGGCACCATTTCCCAGAAAGAGTTCTGAGTAATAAATAGAATTTATCATCTATACTTTCAAAAGAAATCACAAGTTTCCATTCTCCTTCGCATTTCAAAATGACTTTTCCATTTCAATCTGAAATTTAGATGAATGGGTATTTTAAGTAATTTTGTGAGTCTAATAAAAATGCATGTAAGTGTTGAGTCTCATTGGGAAGGTTAAACCAGAATCGTAATTAGACTCTTATCTCAGTAGTAAGCCAGTACTCAATACTTACAAACTTATAGACAGTCTTCATGGCAGGGTTAGCCTTGGTCTTTACTGTGTTTAAAATGGCTCCACTTCCTTTCTATAATCACAGTAACAAGAGAAGAAACGTTATCAAAGCTCTTTAAAGCAAACAGCGACCCAAAATCCACCATTCGTACAATAACCAAGCATTAACTGTGCTTCTTGGCAGAGCTGAGCATTCCAGGGCAAATCCAAAGCAAAAGACACAAGTACAAACACCTGAGTGTTCCTCTGGTTTTTCCCAACTCTGTTCAATCCAGCAGTTCCCCCAGGAGGTGTCTGTGTCTCTGGAGAGCCCTCATCTCACAGCTTGTCTCGCAAACCCTCAGGGGGTCCTGCTCACTCCACTAAAATCCTAAACAAGTTCAAGGCAAAAGTATCCTAACAAATGTCTGGGGCAGGAAATTCCCTTTCAGGAAAGCCTGTACAAGCAAGTTGAAGAGGTAAGATCTTTTTTGTGTCCCCATTTTCCTTTCCCTCATCCCACAGTCCTGTTTATCACACACACGCTGCCTTTTTAAGATCCAGGTAGTTGGTAAAGGGATAAATTGAGGGAAAATGAACCCTAACTACAGTCATAAACACTAATTCTAGAAAAGCTGAATTGCATGTGGTGAATATAATCAAAGTAATGAGGCAGTAATGCATCAGCCAGAATCATCTGTTTGTCTGGTCAGGGTTTTGTACCCCTTCCACACACCACTGACTACTGCTGGCCAGCAAGAGCCAAGCAAGAAAACCTTAGCTGATTTTATATTTTCTACTTTCAGTGCAAAATTATATTTCCAGAGATCAGGTTTGATTACGTGCAATCAGATGCAAGCAGCTTTAAGATTTACTACCTCTGTTACTTCATGACAAGTAATCTTCAACAAAAATTATAAACTGTTGAATTTAATCACACTGATTTTTATATTCACTCTCAGGCATTACCCTTTCTTATAATGTTAAAATTACCTGTCATCCTACGTATTTATATATATTTATGTAAATTTATTTACCTACCTAACCATACAATGGAATTTTTAAAAAATTACTGCTACAAAATATGTGTAATTCAAACTCATCAAGATTATATTGAGCCCAGCACTTTGTGTAAGGAATATAATCCCATTCACAAGCTGGACAGGAGTAAATGGAATGCTGCAACACTCAGTTCTGTCAGAAAAAACCCCAAACAATCTTTTCTATTGACTCATACCCATAAACCTGAAATATTTTACTTTTCAATATGCCACATTTCAGGCATTGAAAGAAGCTTTTAATATCTGTTACAAGTTATTATTCTCTAAAAGTATTTACACTTTTAATTTATACATTTGGCACATTTATAATTTGGCACTAAACCAGAGATGCAAACCCCACCCCAAACAGTGGTGCCCCCATCCAACACTTCACACCATTCAGCTTTATCCAGAATTTCTGGGTGTGACAGTGTTTCCCTCAGAGCTGCACGATGGGCCAAGAGGACTGAGGTGTCTGCTGGAAGGATGGTGTTCTTACCCTCACTGTGGAGAGCCACTGGTGGTACAGTTTGTCACTACCTGGAGAGAATCACAGACACAAACAAACAAATGTAACTCTGTGCAACAGGAAACAAGCTCAAAACGTGAGGTGCTGGCACTCAGGGGTTCTGGGAGCAGGGACAGAGCAGGACACCCAGACTTCTCTTTCAGGGAGACACAACAACAAAATATCGAGGACAGATTTACACTTTTCTATTTTCTGTGTTGTCTCAGACATTTGAGAACACCGGGATTTTTTTAAGATCACTAAGAAATATGAGGTGGTTCTGGGTAAAGCCAAGGGTTTTTCTCCCCTGCAAGGATTCTTTTAGTTGCACTTTATTCAAGTGGTAAAGCTGAGGTTTTCTAAGACTGAACAAGCTTTATTCAAACTATAATACATTATTCTAAGTTCTTGACAGAGGAAAGAACAACAATTTAAGACACTTCAGGCTACCAGGATCACTGAGCCTCAGTTATTTACCAACAGCAATGACCAATTACCTCTGATGGCCCACAGAGGGTGGGTCAACAGCAGCGTCTGAAATTCCCTTAACAGCCCATTTCCTACCTGCGTATTCCCCTGCATTGATCTCCTCCTCGAACACGTCACTGAAGCCCTCCCCGGAGTTCAGCAGGTCCAGGCGCCCATCGATGAACTGCAGCAGGGGAAAGGAGAGCACAAACATCACCCACCCCAAAGGAGAGCACAAACACA